GAAAAGTATTTTTATAGAAATATACTATATAATTATGTTATTAAACTAAATGTAATCCATAGATCGAAGACATGGTTAGAAGCTTGTAATTGCGAGGATTTATTAAATAAAAATTGAGCAACTCTATTTTTTTGTACATAAACTCCACATTGTGATATTACACTTGTTCAAGTCCATATGTAAAAAAAATACACGTAAATAAAACATTTCTTACAAATCGACTTGGTCACTTTCTCTTGTTTACCAACGATATACAAAATATTGCTTTTATTATCTTTATTCCCCGACAAATATGTTTCTAATTATAATTTATTTTATATAATATTTAGAAAACTCATTTTTTTTCGTTTCTATTTATCTCTTTACTCACACAGTAACTATTTATAAGCTATACAGGCAAATTTTAATAATAGTCTATTTCAAATTTCCCGCGAAAAAGTTACGAAAATTTAAAGGGACAAGCGAGACGAGGTCACTCTCCCCACCACTCAAACATGAAAGGTACCGCGCGAACTGTCGTCTCTTGTCTTATCTACTCTTAGGTACTAGTCCATTCCAGTGGGACTCGATTCTTCTCGAACGAATGAATCATTACGGCGTCTATTCTTTAATGCGATGTTAAGGTCATCTGAGGGCGGGACATATAGTTAGGTTAGGTCGAGTCCACACAGGTCCGCAACATTATTTACGTAAAAAATCACGGAAATACATATTTTTTCACTCAGTAGTTTTATACAGGTATGAATGAAAAGTTATTACTTTTTAAAACAGTTAAAACCTTTGAATAAGAAGACTAAGGAAGGAGCATATCAAAAATCTTAGGTACACCGCGATGGGCCTCAAATATGGCCGACTTAAATTCCGGTTTATCAGTGTCGTTCTAATTTTATTTAAAAAATGTAAAACTATGATGTAGGGTAGACGTGGGGTAGACTCAATAATTTGTTGTTTTATTTTACGTTGTGAATAAATGTTGGTAGTTATTAAAATTGTTATAAAAATATATAAATCTAATAAAAATAGATAAGTTATAATAAGTATTTATTACCACAAACATCCGATACGCTACTGAAGCAGGTAAGTCAAATTAACGTATCTAAATTCTTTGACATCTAATCTTTGACAAGTAATAAATAAAACCTAAAATGCAAGAAAAATATATAATTTAGTTAATTTAAGTGAATTTCATAAATGATCGGTTTACTACACGTATGTATATTATATAGCCACTTACTAGCGAAAAGTTGTTCCATTGTTTCACTCAATTTTTGCCGAGATCTACCGCACGCTACACAACCAACTATTTTAGAGACTTTTTCGATAAATCGCGATAGTGTCACTGTTAATTTAAGTTCTGCCACAATTTCCATCTAGATTTACTACCTTTATACAACTATCAGTAGTAGAATAAATAATAAATAACATAAAATAAGCTCCGTAAAGACTGACAAATCCACAAAATTTCAAATCAAATTCAAATGTGTCAAATGAATCGTCAAACAGAACTGTCAAGGATCCCCACCCTAGAGAGCTTTTATGGTGGCTTTTCCGCCCACCATGCATGAATACATGGATAACATTATGCTCCTTCCTTAGTCTTCTTATTCAAAGGTTAAAACACATGTAGGTGGCGTCCCCTACAAATGGAGACATATTGACATCAAAATCAAATTTCTCATGTCAAAAAACTCCCATACAATTCCCAATTTTCATCCAAATATTGACGTTATTTCAGAAATTATTTGGAAAAAATAAAAATAAAACTTCTACACCCTGTATCTCCGAAAGTAAGCATTTTAGGACATACATTTATACGAACTTTTTTACTTATTTTTATCTGAAGATTATGCTGCCGAAGTTTCCGGAATACAGTTCGGACCACCCTGTATATCCGTACTAGGATTGCTAAAAATGTTGTTATTGTTTGCTATAAAAACATTCTCTTTAAATTTACGCTTCTTCCAATGAGGTTCCCTGTGGATAACCCGAGGTTCTGACAACTTTAAATTGTGCTGTTTTGATCAAACATGGTCCGCAATAACTGACTTCATGGTTTCACCTTTTTGTACATGTTTTTTGTGCCCGCTAAGTCATACCTATATTTAGAGGACGTTTAGTCTCTCCAATATACGACTCACCGCATTCTCAAGGTACCTGGTACTCTTTCTTTAGTTTCAATGACTCCGGTCCTGTTTTTGTTAGGACGCTTCTTAGAGTCGATCCAGATTTGAATACAATTTTAATTTTATAGTTTTTGGCTTCTCTATTTTTACATATGCAATAGTCAAGAGAGAGGCTGACTGCACCCAACTTCTTCACGGGTGAATGCCTGGCTGTAGTATAAAAGCTCAGTAGTTTTAGGAATTAGTTTAGTTTACACTTGATAACGGTCAGTGATCGTTTTGACCGAAACGTTGTGTTAGTAAAAATAAAGAAAATGGAAGTCCGAAATTCTTTTAGTTTCAATACAATAGATCTATAAGGTCGCGGTGATTAACTTTCCCCCTCTCAAAAAATCTACATTACGGCCTTCATTACAAGATACATAAACTTATTGAAAAAGATCGACGAAAACGTCAAAGCAGCAGTGGGGCTACATGATAAAACAGATCTCTTTAATACACAGAAGAGAATCAAGCAGGGTGGCCCATTTATTGGAAATTGTCAAACAGCTTGGAATTTGTAAAACAGCTAGATTTGCCAAAACAAGGAATGTTCATCGGCTATTAGCTAAAAATGCTCAAGCCCTAAATTAATTAATTACGCAACTGGACGAGATTTCAACATAGGTATAAAAATGAACCAAAAAATAAATCAAGTCATGTCATGTGTCGTAAGGATCCGAATATATGATAATAAATATTAAGAAAATAGAGAACGTAAAATACTAATGCATACTTGGGCCAATGAATAACAGCTCTTTGCAGAAAAATTAAAAACACAGAAATCGAGAGAAGAGAAGATTTAGATTAGAATGAGCAATATTTTCGAAACTAAAAAATACTTACCAACAAAAAAATGCCACTGTAGATATCTGCTAACCAACTCTCGATTTTTGTGTCTTTATTTTCTTTGCAAATATTATTTGCTGGCCCAAGTATGAATACAGGGTATTTCAAAAAACATGTGCCGTATCTCGTGGGAAGTTTCCTCTCGTAAAAATAAGATTTATTTTTCATTTTAACATAGGTCCGATTCTGCTTTGTTTCGTAGCTACAGTGGGTTAAAGTCTTTTAGCGATTCGAATGAAATTTTGAGAGTAATAGTTACTAGAAGTGCGCCATATTTTAATGCTAAAAAAGTATCGACATATTCACCAGTGACATGCATACGGGTTATCACTGGAAACATTTTCTAAAGAAATATATGCGCCACTGCCTTTTTTTCCTATTTTTAGCTAAATTGTGTAGACCGTTAAATGCTGATTAGAAGTTATCTCTTGATATTTTGTCTATTTCGGTGTCCTTGATGAGATAAACGCAATTTAATTAATTTGCCTTAATCCAAATCTAATAGCAACTTTAAAAAATTTTAATGTCCTTAACTTGCTATAACTCTAGATATATTAGCAATTATTCTATTATATCTAATAGAAAAATATTCCAGTGGTAACCCACCCATATGCACTTCCCCGGTGAATTTGTAGACAATTTTTAGCCGACCATATTAACAGGTATGGTAGGCTATTAAGATCGGCAAAAAAAAGTGTTTTTAATTTCACTCAAAATGAGTTATTTGGGTCATAAATGACCTAAATACAAAATATTTTCATGGTGCCTATCTGTCTGTCTGTCCGTCTGTCTCTAACACGATAACTCAAAAACCGCTAAACCGATTTTAACCAAATTTGGCACAAAAATACTGTGGCACCCGAGAATCTGTCCATTAGTTTTTGGTGGGGGTGGGGGGTTGTAAGGAAGTATGGGAGGGGGTTAAACATTTTAAAAAACCGTAACTACAAAATTACAGTAGCTAGCGAAACGCGGTTTTCAATTTAAGATTAGGAATAATATTTGCAACAAAATTTGTAATAACATCAAAATCAGTCAAAGTCGCCGTTTTTGAGATAAAAAAAAATTGGAAAAATTCCTCTACTTTGAAACTAAAAGAACTGCTTACCAACTTTTTATTAACATATTTTAGTATGGGCGGCTATACGTGTCTCCGGCGCCAATTTTATTGTTTAGCATTAAAATATGTGGCACTCATAGTAATTTTTACCCTACAAATTTTATTCTAATTGCTAAAAGCACTTATTTTAGAGAACTTTTAGAGCACTTATTTTTAGAAAATTATAATAAACTAAAAAAAATGAAGACTTTAACTAATCTTATTTTTACATGAGGAATCTCCCTACGAGAGATGCCACATGTTTTTTGAAACACCCTGTATAGTTTTTACGTTTTCTATTTCTTCTTATTATTATAATGCGGTATACCGTATGATAAAAAAAACGGCAAGTTGATTTGGAAATGATGATTAATGATATTCATCGTATAATTTGACACAGGGTCGGACTGGCCATATAGTTAGGGTGGCGATTGCTAGCCGAGCCTCAGCCTTCGCGGGCTCCCCTGTCTTAGTACCTACATGAAAAATAGTTTATTATTTATTCTTAAATAGCAATGAAACAGAAAAAAGTGATGGTAATATTCTCAGGTTATCCCCAAAACTTTTTCTTGCATTTACAATATTTACATTTCCATTGCATTGCATTATGGGTAGTAACCTGATTTCAAACAGAAGCAACAAATCAATAGGGAAGAATTGACTAAAACGTACCCCGGGCTGCCTTGATCCAGTCCGCCCCTGATTTGACATATAAAATCTTACTTTCGTCTTTAAAGCATGATATTACTAAAATAGCGACTCTCTTTTCTTAGTATTTCAGAATCTTGATTAAAATTTTCTTTCTTAATGTTCTAAAATGAGACTAAAACTAACATCTACGTTTCTAAAGCTTTTTAAACTAAACTAAAACGGACTTAGTGCTTTATTACCTCACCGTATCCACCATTAACGACTGTCACAGCCTATATATGTCCTAATGTAAATCGGTTAGTGATTGTTACCCATATTGTGCTTGTAACTGTTCTAAAGTTAGTAAAAATAAATGGTTGGATAATTTTCTTCTTTCCAGAAACTTCTTTCATAAATTTTTAGATAGAAATCCACCAATAACAATTGTCACAGCCTATATACATCCTAATCAGCGGCGTGCAGTCTATGGAAGCAAGGGAAGCAGTGCTTCCCCTAAACAAATTACAAAACATCATCTTCTAAAATGTAATTTTTGAAATATGGAACAATTAATTTGGTTTATATTAAAAATGCTAAAACATTATCTTAATTATCAAGCCCATACAAGCTCATAACAAATGCGGCCTTGACTCCGACCGAGCAACAGTAGAAAATCCTAGAGAATCTAACCGGGCGCTAGCTTCTCTGCAGCATATGCATCGAGAGGGCTATTATTCCCAACGGCCGGCAGCCGCAGCCGCGGTCCCCTCCGCGGAATCACGTGCGGCAAGCGGGCGTGGAAGCTATCAAGTCCGTAGTTACATTAGCTTTGTTTGTTTTCTTGTTATTACCGATTCTGAACCGTCCTAGAACTGTGATAGGTATGCGCAGAAGGAAATATGAAGACATTATTTCATTTGCGCATGCGCTGCAGAGTTCTACGACGGTTCAGAATCGGTAATAACAGGAACCCGAAAAAAGCTATTGGATGCGTGTCCGTGCGTTTTTTTGGTCGTACGTGTTCGGACGTGCACGCAGCAAAAAACAACTGGTTTCTACGCAGGCGGTTACATTGCATCGGAGTTTGCGCAGCCGTGCACGTACGTTAATTTCCGTTGGTCGGATGAAAACAAACTAGTTTGATTTTTTAATACGTGCACGTCCGAGCGTTCGAATTTTTATATCTCTAGGCCCAATACATTTGAATATAAAATTCCAAAAAAATTGAATATTTTTGAATACCAGGTTTATTTTTATTTGGGATATATTAATGTTGCTGGAAACATTCTAAAATATTCAAAAAATTTGAAGGGTTGCTGTTTTAATTCACCAAATATTTTACATATTCATTTTCTTCCCCTTTTCTTGTATATAAATCATTTACCCAACATTTTTTTCTGTTCATAAGTAGTTATTTTAAAATTAAATCCTCAGACAGCATTAAAGTAGTGGCGTCCGTTTTCACAAACTCGATACACAAGACACCATGAACGCGCATCTAATGTAACCACTAAAATAAAATAGTCGTGCGAGTAAATTCCGTCTCGCACGTTCAAAGTAACAGCAAAGGTAACAGGCTCGCACGTTTAAAGAAACGCACGGAACCGCGTCCAATGTAACCACGGGCTAGAATAGGTTCTCTTTTGGAACGGTTGTCGGTTATCCGTTTGTTGTGTGATACGTACCGTACGTGCGTTGTGCCTGGTGAAATACGGAAGACAATAATACGGACATGGACATGCAAATACCGTCAACTTCGTGTGTCGGGATTGGCGATGAAAATGATGGAGAATTAGCCCGCGGTTACATTGGACGCGGGTCCGTGCGTTGTTTTAAACGTGCGAGCTCTGACGGAATTTACTCGCACGACTATTTTATTTTAGTGGTTACATTAGATGCGCGTTTATGGTGTCCTGTGTGTCGAGTTTGTCAAAACGGACGCCACTACTTTGATGCTGTCTGAGGATTTAAGGTTAAAATAACCACTTATGAACAGAAGAAAATGTTAGGTAAATGATTTATATGCAAGAAAAGGGGAAGAAAATGAATTTGTAAAATATTTGGTGAATTAAAACAGCAATCGGTCAATTTTTTTGAACATTTTAGAATGTTTCCAGCAACATTAATATATTTAAAATAAAAATAAACCTGGAATTCAAAAATATTCAAATTTTTCGGGAATGTATTGGGCACAGAGATATAAAAATTCGAACACTCGGACGTGCACGTATTAGAAAAACAAACCAGTTTGTTTTCATCCGACCAACGGAAATTGACGTACGTGCACGGACGCGCAAACTCCGATGCAATGTAACCGCCTGCGTAGATACCATTTGTTTGTTTTTTGCTGCGTGCACGTCCGAGCACGTATGACCAAAAAAACGCATGGACACGCATCCAATGTAACCACGGGCTTACAAAGAGTGTGTGGCGTGAATGGCGTGTATTCTAATAATAAAGCGATTTTCAACATTAAACTTCGCAGATAAGCCTCAATTAATTACTAAAGGTAGGGCAAAACCGCCTATGAAAAATTTAACCACAAAAATGAAAAATTGTATTAGACATTTTTATTCCAAAAAACAATACGAACAATTTAAATGGTTAACGTGGTGTGAAAATATAAGTAAGTTAATTGGTCGGCCATCTTTATTATTTGAAAATGAAAACGGTCTCTGGAATAAAACTAATTTTTCCGAGTTAAACAATTTCCCTAAAACCGTAAAAAGACACATTATGTCCAAAGCACATTTGCAGGCTGTCATAAAAGGAAAAGTCTTTGGCAAAACCAGAATGGAAAACGCCCTTAATAAGCAGTTAGAAATTAGTCACCGCCAAGACAATGAACTAGTCGATAAAAATAGGCAAATATTAAAAAGACTTATCGATGTCGTTTGTTTTCTCGGACATATATTCAGCAACAAATAAACTGTAGATTTAACGGTTTAAATGATTTTAACTTCCTCGAGCTCTGCAATTTGATGCATATAAAGGAAAAACTTTTCCAGAAGATGCGTTTAAATCTCTTCTTCTTCATTATGGCCAGTTCTTCGACCGAGTGTTGCTGCGATCTGAACTAAAAGTGATTTACGAAACTGATGACATTAGTGCACAAAAAAACGCTAGAGAACTAATGCAATTTTTAAAAGACAAGGAGCTAGAAGATGCCTACACTGACGTGTCGAAATTGTGTAAATTAGTATAGACAATACCTGCCACAAGTTCATCCGTAGAACCAAATTTTTCAACGTATAAAAAATTTTGTGAGAAATTCAACGGACCAGGAGAAACTTTCACAAGTATCGCTGTTGTCCATCGAAAATAAACTTCCCCAAAACATGTCGAAGCATCCACGAGTTTATGATGACGTAATTGGCGAATTTGCAAAAAGTGATCGAAGAAAAGAATTACATTACAAATAGGTAAGTTTCTAAAAATTGCTCCCCGTCCGCACGCCCCTGATCCTAATGTTAGTAGGTTAGTGATTATTAACCATATCGTGCTTCTAACTGATTAGTAAAAATAAACGGTCTGTCGTCGCAACGACACAAACAGAAACGTACCCGAATTAGAATCTGGCCACTTGTTGTATGCGGATTTCGATAGGCGTAGGCTGTCCAAAAACCAAACCCGCACACCATAGCTATTAAAAATATAACAGCTATATATCCGGATGCCCCTAACTGATTTTGCTGTGCCATTTTTCCTATATAGTCATTGTCAAAATTGTCTCCCCGTTCAACGTCGTAATTGGGACTGTTATTGATATATTCACTTTCTTCATAGATGCCATCACACTTCGTTAGTTGACTGATGTTTCTAGCTTCACAACCTCTGTCAATCCATTCCTGTCGGTTTCTGTCTTTGCCAGTCGAGCATTGATTTAAGGTTGGACACCATTTGCACTAAAATATTTATTAAATAATTTTCGTTTTTCCACACTACTCCGTTCGTTATTTTTTAGGATAAAGTTTGGATAGAAATTTGAATGTTTTATGTTGAGAATATTTCGAGACGGAACTTTCCTTTTTAAAATATTTTCTAATTCGTGGCACTTTTACCACTTTGGCCGGTTTGACCAAAACTTTGTAGCTGCCAGTTTATTTATTTCAAATAGAACTTCCGATCTGCCTATACTTGTATCTATAATAATATCTAAACGATAATGAATGCGTAAAAGTTAGAAAGATTGATTTTTTTAAAATACAGTGTGGCGACTCTCATACGACGCAGAGGCTCCAAAAAAAACGACAGCTTGTATTGAAATGAAATTTTGTGACCATATAGTTATACAGGGTGGCGCACCTTCGCCTCGGTTGATTATACGAATATGGAAAGATGTAGAAACAAAATATTTTATGGGTATATGTCGGGAGGTTTCAGAACTAAGATCCATACCAAAGTTATATTTTTTCTTATGGAACACCCGGTATTTTATTTCATTTTTGGATTCTTGGCCCAAAAAAAGGTATTTATTATAAGGGTTAAATATGTTTAAAATTTTTGGTTTTTGAGATATTTAAAGATATTTAAATTTGCATGCTACAATAGAATAGATTATTAACACCCTGTACATTACTTTTTAGAATTAGTTCTTGTGCTGAGTTTAAAGGTAGAGAAAGAAAATTTACAGAAAAATGTTATTCCTTCCTTCGATGTATACAGGGGTATCAAAAATTGCTGGTCTATTTAAATATTTATTTTACATAAAAAATTTGTTATTTCAAATACAACACTATGTATTTTTTTAAATAAGTCGAAGTAGATTTAAATGCTCTTTCAAACAATATTAGGGTTTCCTATACCTATCTGGCTCAGATTTTGAATAAAAAGCGATTTTTCAATTAAATTGTAATCAAGATGGCTAGTGTTGTCATGGCAAGTTTCTAGTGACAGTAGCTATTTTCCTTTTTAAAATATTTTCTAATTCGTGGCACTTTTACCACTTTGGCCGGTTTGACAAAACTTTGTAGCTGCCAGTTTATTTATTTCAAATAGAACTTCCGATCCGATAATAGTTTCTTTCCCCGAGCCTGTATTCTTATAAGAAACAACATTAACTACACATGTGTTTCAGAATTTACAACCCGAGATCTTGTTCCAATCATGGTTCAACTTAATATCGAGGATTGTAGCAAAAATATCGTGATTGCCTCTGCATACTTTCCGGGTGATGGGCAGACACCGCCTCCGGAAGTAGAGGAGCTCGTGCATTCTGCAGCCAACGGCGACTACCTCTGCTATTGGGATGTGACTCCAATACGCACAATGAGGTATGGGGAAGCACTAATACTAACACTAGAGGTGAGTGTTTACTAGAATTCCTCTTAGCATACAATGTTGAAGTTCTCAATATAGGGAACACCCCCACGTTTGTGACAAAAACGCGGGCGGAAGTATTAAATTTAACAATCGGGAGTGCTAGTGTAACTAGTTACGTGAAAGATTGGAGGGTTTCAACGGAACCTTCCCTATCAGATCACAGAATCATCGAGTTCAAATTAGGAGGAATCATACTCCAAACTGAAATTCGAAGGAATCCAAGAAAAACCGATTGGGAACTATACCACACCAATCTCGTAAACAACCTGGACCAAATAGATGCAGGTAGGGCTAGGAACCACCTGTATCTAGAATGGTACGCAAAGGAAGTCAGTGGTGCAATATTGGATGCATATGAATCTAGTTGCCCCACAAGTAAGGGCATACAAAAAAGTAACAACAATCCCTGGTGGAACAAAAAGCTAGACAATCTTAGATCGGAGGTTCGACGACTCTTCAACAGAGCCAAACCCAGCGGCGAATGGCAGCTCTACGCCGAGAAATTAACTGAGTATAATAAGGAGATTAGAAGGGCAAAGCGGTCTGACTTCAGATGCTTTTGCGAAAACATCACTTCAACTACTTATGCAGCTAGGCTACACAAAGCTATGGCCAAGAGTGGGCCCATCCCCAACATGGCACTTAAGAAACCTGACGGAAGCTACACGGAAGGAGGTGAAGAGAGAGCTAACCTCCTACTTTATACACACTTTCCAGGTAGCATATCTATTGATACGCAAGTAGCTCCGACCGAACCCCACAATCCTCGCAGGGAAGACTGGGAGACGGCCAAGCTAGTAATAACAGAACAAAAACTGAAATGGGCTATTGACACCTTTCAGCCTTATAAAACAGCAGGAATAGATGGGATTTTTCCTGCCCTTCTAAAGAAGGGTCAGGAAATAGCTACACTCCATCTATTAAACATTACAAGAAGCAGCTTAGCGATGGGATATATACCAACCATCTGGAGAAGAGCGAAAGTCATGTTTATACCCAAAATAGGCAAAACTGACTGGGCTAACCCCAAATCATTTAGGCCTATTAGTCTCACATCGTTCATATTAAAAACGATGGAGAAAGTAGTCGACAACCATATTAGAGTAAATCATCTACAGGTTAAACCACTGCACGATAGTCAGCATGCATATAGAGCGGGTAGATCCACAGAAACTACTCTGTACCAGTTAACTGAGCTAAGACAGGCAAGCCTGGATAGCAAAGAAACAGCACTTTGTGCCTTCTTGGACATTGCAGTGAGGTACATTTGACAATATACCTCACAACGTGGTCAAGCGATCTCTTGAAACAAGAGGGGTGAACAGTACGATAATTCGCTGGTTTTGGGAAATGCTTCAACACGAACAGCAGAGGCTGAGATAGGTACCAAAACTGTAGTTGTTAAAACAACGCAAGGAACTCCACAAGGTGGAGTGACCTCCCCCCTACTGTGGAGCTTGGTAGTGGATGAACTACTGGAAGAATTAACTCTAGCGGGAATACACTGCATAGGGTACGCAGATGACATAGTCATCATTGCACAGGGGAAACATGAAGGCACCCTGTGTGATATTATCCAAAGAGGATTCCGCATCGCTGAGAGATGGTGCAGGACTGTCGGGCTGAGTATTAACTCAGATAAAACCGCAGTAGTGCCATTCACCAGAAAGCGAAGTTTGAAAAACTTGAAAAGAATCCATCTAGATGGAAAGGAAATACTGCCATCACAGGAAGTGAAATATCTGGGAATAACCCTGGATAGTAAACTTCTCTGGAACAGGCATATTAAGAACATTACCAGCAAAGCCACAAAGGCTCTCATGATATGCAGAAGACTGGCGGGAAATAGGTGGGGCTGCGCCCCTAACATTTTGCGCTGGATGTATACCATGATAGTAAGACCCATGATTACTTATGGAGCAGTTGCTTGGTATACAAAACTAGAGCAACGTACAGCAAGGCAAACCCTGTGCAAAGTACAGAGACTGGCATGTATCTGCATCACAGGTGCCATGAGAACATGTCCAACAGCAGCAATGGAGGTCATTCTAGACCTAACACCACTGCATATTGTCGTCGGTAGTTATGCCAATGCGACAATGATTAGAATGGTCATTGACGGAAACAGTACTGGGAGAATTTTCAGGTCAGGGGCTTGGAACACCCTCAAAAAGAAAATTCCACTTCTCCAACTCCCAGTGGATGACATACCAAGAATTTACAACTTTGAGAAACACCTCACTGTAGTATTGAGTAATAAAAAGGATTGGAAGAAAGAGACGCTTACTCAGCATATTGTTACGTTTTTCGTCGGTTCCGTGTGGATAGAAAGTCACAATTTATTTAAACACAATTTATTTAACACTAATTAATAAAAACAATAACGATTAAAAGACTTAAAGAACTATTTATAACTTATTTACAATTTATCTAATTATTTATCTAACAGAAATTTATTTTGAATTAGCGCGGCGATTGTAACTGTACGCGTCCATCGTTTATTTATCTCTATCTCCTTCAGGTTTCGGGCATCGGCTTATATACGAGAGAAACAGACAGTCCAGACTTGTCTAGTAAATTCTTATTCGTTCTTCGAACGTCGGTGGGCGTATGAGTTAAGCCCCGTTCTCAGAACTGCGACTGTCGCCAGCGACACGTCAAGAGGGCCAATGAGATTTGTACAAAATTCAAACAGCTGTCAATTTTAAATTTAGTACAGCTCCCATTGGTTGTTTGAAATGTCAAACTGTGTCGCCCGCGACACGACGTTGTTCTGAGAACGGGGCTTTAAGCCCCGTTCTCAGAACAGCGACACGTCAAGAGGACCAATGAGATTTGTACAAAATTCAAACAGCTGTCAATTTTAAATTTAGTACAGCTCCCATTGGTCGTTTGAAGTGTCAATCAGTGTCGCTGTCGACACGACGCAGTTCTGAGAACGGGGCTTTATAGCAGGCGCCTGAAGCCTAAGGCCGAGTTCACACGGTACGGGTCCGCAACAATATAAAAGACCATACCATCATGTGGTATACGGATGCTTCCAAAACCAAAGCAGGGACAGGGATAGGAGTATTTGGGCCGAAAACTGAATACTCCTGTTACGTTTTTCGTCGGTTCCGTGTGGATAGAAAGTCACAATTTATTTAAACACTATTTATTTAACACTAATTAACAAAAACAATAACGATAAAAGACTTATAGAACTATTTACAAACGATTTATAACTAAGAATTTATTTTGAATTTTAGCGCGTCAACTGTATATTTATAACTGCCCTCTCTAGGCCACTGCCGCCGGCTTTTATACCTACAGCAAAAGAAATCTAGAATAGTCCATAGATCGTTAGGCGCATAGAGAAGGTTTTCGAATGTTCTCGTATGTACTAGTCCATTCTAGTGGGTCTCGATTCTTCTCGAACGAATGAATCATTGCGGTGTCTATGCGATGTTAAGGTCATCCGAGGGCGGGCCATATTGTGAGGTTAGGTCGAGTCCACACCGGCTCGCAACACTGCCCCTTCTTAGGCACATGCTCGTCCCGAGATTATACGGTGAATGAAGGTATTTGCAAAGCTGGCCCCTGG